GTATCAAAGCTCAAGAAGTATTGATATAAAGTTCAAATATATATATATATATATATATATATATATATATATATATATATATATATATATATATATATCATTCCAGTATCATTGTCCAGCTTATTCAAGATTATATTTGCTCTCTTAACCTTTTAACTTTTTGTCCTGGAATACCAAGATACCTCACAGTTTTCACGTACAATTTCATTTTCAAGTTTTTTTTTCACTGCTCTTTCGACTGTCATAACTGAAATTCATCTCTCACGTGCCAAAGTTTTATGGATTGAGTTGGATCTTTTCCAAGTGATCTCTTTAGCTCTTTGAAATTATGATCCCTCTTCCTTTTGTCACCTCCTAATCCAGTTTTCCTCTCTACTATTCTCTCTTTTTTAAACTTATTTACCATTTTCTTGTTGGAACTTGAATAGAGTTTGACGATGGAAGCCAAATTATGAATGTTGGTACCATTATTGAAGGCTTGAATGATCTTTGTCGTCTCACCACTCATCAATTGAGAAGACAAAACAATTTTAGCCTGCTCTCTTTTTAGCTGGATAACTTAAAAGGTTTTTCAGTGTCTCTTACGACATATGGAGCCAAGATGGCTAAACGAAAAAAGAAACTGTTAGCTTAGTGTGTTTTTTTTTTTTTAGATATTAAGCAATTTGCGGGATCGTTTACTTTGCTTTTATACAATTTGGAAATTTTTCTTTTACACCTATTTATGTTATAACGAGGTAATCATAAAATGAATGAATTAGTAATATTAATGTAAGTAATAGCGAATTCTCTTCGTTAACAGACTTATTATAACCATTAACTTACTAACAATCCACTGAATGACGCGATCCTTATGTATAAAATTGTTGTCGGATGGATCTGGTGTATTTTTAGAGTAGCAAGTACTTTCGAAAACTTCTTGTACCCGTCGTCAGGCTGTTATTTTTCTCCATTTCGAAATAAAACTCCAAGATGAAACAAATGTATTGGAGAGCGAAATGTTTTTTTAAAGAATGTGTTATTTATTAATGTTTATATAATATTGGAAAGTGCAAGTCGCAACGCCAGATTTAAATATTTCAAGTGAGAATTTTTTTTGTATGAATTATGTAATGTGGAAAGTCCACGAGTTCTTTTATTGTAAGTGTTTTCCAGTTAACGTGAAATAAACTAAGTATATTGCTCAAAAATTGGATTAATATGTCTTAGCATTTTTATTCCGGAATTTCGTACCGCCGGATCAATTGTTTTTTCATAAACCTGTTGCAGCACACACACACACACACACACACACATATATATATATATATATATATATATATATATATATATATATATATATATATATATATATATATGTGTGTGTGTGGAAACGTACACACACACACAAACACACACATATATATATATATATATATATATATATATATAAAGACATATAGTTTTTTAAGGTGTGCTATATTTATGGGAAAATGCACAATATCAGAGAGAGAGCGTATGTAAATACAAATATAAAAAGTGAACATTAAGTCAACACTTAGAGGCGCTAGGTTGTTTCATGCTGGATGCAATCGTCAGGCATTACGATTGCGTCAACATGAAACAGCCAGTCACCTCTGAGTGTTGACTTCAATATTATATATATATATATATATGTGTGTGTGTGTGTGTGTGTGTGTGTGTGTGTGTGTGTGTGTGTGTGTTTGTGTGTGTGTGTGTGTAAAATATATATAGAAAATAGAACTCGTTAAATAATCCAAAATTCTTTAGTATTTTTGTTATTATTATTTTTTAAAATAGTGCTCGATACAAAAGTAGAGCAGATATCATTGAAGTCAATATATATATATATATATATATATATATATATATATATATATATATCACTTACTTTCAGTATGAGGTATACTAATATTTGTGAATTTTTTTTCAGACTAATTATTCCTGACTTGAATATTAAATATATTAGAGATGGCTGCTTCACAGCGTAATGTAAATAAAGATGTCAAAAGATCTGGCCATCCTAGTGTTAAATGTGTACCTGAGTAGCAATATACCAACTCATTCGCAAGCTTCTGCAGAGTCAAACAGAAAAGTTTCGGTTGTCTTTTTGTGGTCCACATGGAAACATTATAAAATAAGATGCGTTTCTGGGTTTGGTTAATGATGATAACTTCTTGGTCACTGATGGTGCAATAATTTTGCACCAGGTTTATAGACGCCATTAGCAGATTTTCCGTGAGTTGGTCAGTCAGTCGATGCCGGACGAGCGTTAGTCGGATATTAAAGTACAGCCACCACAACTAGATTACTGCGTTATACCCATTATATCAAGTTCCTAACGTCTTGTACGTCGAACCTATTTTAGGACCGACTTAGTAAAAATACAAGCCTCCACTGTGAAACCACTCTACAACATAATCGGAACTGTGGATTATTAGGAAAATTTTCTTTATGGTCCTTTATGTTAATGAAGGCTTATTGTGTGTGCAGTTTATGCACGCTATCGTTGATTTTAAGTTTATTGGTTGTTATAGTTGCTTCACTAAAAAGAAAAAAAAAACGGTGCGTAGATTAATACTTGGATATTCAATGGAGACACTCTCGAGGATTTCACTTCTGGGTGATTTTTTTCCTTTTTTTTTTTTTTTGAGTAGCATTTGTAAAATCAAAATTGTGTTTGAATTTATTTCTATGTATGATTAGTGCATTTGTTGAATTGTTTTTTTCCACAATATCACTATTCTTAACAGAATAACTACTTTTCCAAGCCAAAGTACACAAGAGATATATCAAGACATCAAAAGAAAATGGTTGAATCCGTCAACACAAAAATACAAACAATGTTTCTATACGTGAAAATATTCTCTATAAATATA